ATCCTTTTTAATTGAGGTCTTTATGTAAGAGAATACTTTAATGATATTTTTTCACTTCTGCAATGCAAGCTTACCATTCTAATCTAATATCTTCAAACAAATGTGTTCAGCAGAAATGAAAAAAGTAAGACTAATTTTCCATAAGCAGAAATGTAATTTATTTCCTAGCCTATGACAAAGCTAACAGTGCAAAGAGTTGTCAGTCTCCTTAAATGTTCTTCCACCCTCGGACAGGGTAGAACAAGTCACGATCAGAGGGCGACGTGCGTGTGACTGGTGTTTACTGATCACCAGCAAATTAGTAAACCTTTTGCCTCCCGCCGCCTCTGGTTTTGTTGGATTAATGTTTTCTCCCTGTCATGGTGCTTCAGGCACTTTCAAAGTGGCGTTTGCTGATCTGAGAACGCGTCAGCGATTCCTATGTAAAGCTGTTTTATTTCTTTCATCATATGCTTAGTTTAAAAATACGGTTTCTGGAAGATAAAACGTCTTCCCTTTTTTTCTCAGTGTTATTTGGCATCTGCTTTCATGTTAATTTCCTGTTAATCCAAGGCAGCCGAGTAACGGGGGATCTTCAGGGACTGCTCAAGTCCAAAGCGATGGGCCAAAGCCTGCTCCGAGTTGTTTCTTCCCCGACAGGAGAGAGCAATGAGCAGGATTTGGGGACACTTTACTTCTTGGTAATATAAATGAATTTGAACTCAGTTTTAGACACATCGAGCGATGAATCTTACGGCATGCTTCAGGCTCCAACTAACCATTCGTTTAAACTGCTGGATATTCTATGAGGAAAAAATTCAGTCTTAACTTTCATGTAGGTCTCCCCTATTTAGTTAACTCCAACTATATGTGTCTGACCTCGGGGGCTTTGTCGAGGGAGCAGGCGCGAGCATGCACCTTTCCTCCTACCGTCTGTGGAAGCATCAGAGAGGCTGCGAGGGGCCTGAGCCAAGACCAGAGTTGGGGTGGGAGTCGGGGGCTAGAGCCGAAGCCCCGTTCTCGCACTCAGCTCTATGCCTCTTTCCCCAGCTGTAACGTCGGATGGTAACAGTACTCATCTCACACTCACAGGACCGGGGCACCCGGCTGGGGCTTGGAGCCTAACACGGACGCAACCCCTGGTGGCCGCAAGAGCATTGCCACCACGGTTCCCAGCCAGCATGAGCACTCCATGTCTAACGCTGCATGTTGACAGGAAGCTGCTGGTCACGTAGACCTCAGGCTACAACCAGCCCCTCTTGTCTTTAAGCTGAATGGAGCCCCCTGCGAGAGGGAGGCAAAACAAGGGGAAACACTCTGAAGCCGTGCATTGGGAAACTGAAAAACATGCAGAGAAGGGCGTCCGCCCGTGTTTGAATGCACATTGTGGTCGGTTTTCTAATGCTGCCTTCACAGGGATGAGTTAAGCAGTTCGTTGACATATCATTATCACATTTTGAAGTTAAGCAGCCACAGGAGCTATGAACTCGCATCACACGGCTCATTATTCCTCGATTTTTCTGCACTCCTGCAACATATTCTATTTATTTCACCATCTCCTGGGAGCGCTGGTCGCCTTTGTCCCCGTGACACAGCCAGTGGTGTAAAACTTCTGCATCTGTCAGATGTCTCCATGTGGAGCATAATTGCCTGATTTCCATTTGAAAGTACGGCCCTGACGTTACAAGTACATAGACCCACCAGTGATAACAATGATGCCCTGACACCTACAAGGGGGCGGGGAGTGCATAATGCTGTAACAAACGTGTGTACCAAACGCGGGCTCGCCTTCGGAGGGACCAGGTCTCAGTTTACAGCTGCAGATGAAGTGTTCCTCGGGAACAAAAAAAAAATGAAAAAAATAATAATAACAAAATAAAAAAAAAAAGACTAAAGAAAAAGAAACCAACGGATTAGCATCAGCGTGGGTCTGGTGCAGCCAGATGGCTCTCTGTGGAAATCGAGCTTTCCCGCTTTCTTCCAGTAACCCCGACTAGCAGACAGCAAGCCTGCTAAGAGGGGAGAGAAATGATCTCATTCCTCAGCCAGGCGCATGATTCGCCTTCTTTCTCGGGCTGAGGGAAAGCTGGAAAAGAAGACAGGGTGAGAAAGAAAAGGTGGGGGAGTTCGGGCTGTTGTAAAGAATGAGCACTGGTACCTAGAGGAGGAGTGAGACCCCAGCCCCTGCCAGGCCTCGGCGTTCGAAAACCAGGCTCAGATGGCCCTGGAGAAAGCCAGGTGGACGGGCAAAAGGGTGGCAGGAGGGGCATCCCGGCATATTGTCGTCCCCTCCACCCGCGCCCATGAACCCCACCTCCAGAGGCTGGTGTGTAAGGGTTGGGAGGTCGGGCCGGCTGTAGAAGCCACAGGATTAAGCTCTGGGCTCCCGTGGGGAAGGACGGTAGATGGTGTTTTCAAGTTCTCACTAATGAAAACGTCCACCTCTCTCCATGGGCTGGAGGCCAGCGAGTCCGTAATAGCCCTTGGCTAGCTAGACCGGGTCAGAAGCCATCTGCTTGGATCTAAGTCGGCCGTGCCCAGGACTGTGTCCTGCGGTGCAGGGAGCCGAGGGGCTGGCACCAGACAGGGTGACAGGATGAAATGAACCTAACAGGTGGTAGGTGTGGGAGGGTCCCTCTCCCCCCAAGGTCCTAAGGCCTGGAGGGGGCTCCGTGTGGACTCGTTGTGCCTTCCCTGCTGAGCAAAGCATTCGTGGCTCATAAACAAAAGTCTGTTTCTGGAGTGACAGCCAGATGTTCAGCGGATGGGCATCAGGCAGACCACCAGATGTTGTCGGGAGAGCATAGCACTTGCAGAGGTGTGCAGAGGTACAGGCGTCCCCCAAGCCGACCTGCCCTCTTAGTGGACGGGCACACGCCCCAGCTTGGCAAGGGGGCCCCTGAGGGCTCCAGCGGCGAGGAGGGCATCCAAGAAAGAACGCTCCCTTGAGAGTGCCAGGGGCTCACAGAGCATGTCGGCAGCCCGGCCGGGTTTCTCTGGGCGCTGAAGTTCATCTCCACCAGTGTTTACTCCCGAGTAAATAGCAGGCTCCGGAGGGATACCAAATGCACGATGTAGTCATTCATTTACAGCTGGAAATAATTATTTCAATCATAATAAACACTGAACAAAATCCTCTCCATTTTCACGCAAGGCGAGGGCACCTGCTTCCCAGTCTCTGGCGGTCTTAGGTATAACGGAGCGTTCAAGGGGCACATTCTGCTGGGGCCAAGGAAGCAAAGCTAGCTACGGGTGGGGAGCCCTGGCTGCAGGCTCCCGCTCTGCGCCCTCCAAAACCAAAACAAAAAGCCGCCACTCTCTCAACAGCTGTTTGCTCTCCTGTCTCCAGCCATGCTGCCACCTAACTGTGTTCATAGTCTTGGGCTGGGCTCTTGTGGCTCAAAGCTGAGCTAAAGGACTTCGAAGGAAAGTGTGCGCGGAAAGTGACAAGAATCGTGAGCCGGATCACTTTTGCTCGTTTCGGAGGCGCGTTTCAAGAACGTAACAATTCCTCGCCTCTGAGGAGGGCTTGCAAAGAGTGGCTACCTCTTCTGAATGCTTTGCGTGTAGTTCGTGACATTCCTATGAGGCAGGTCCTCTAATTATCCCCGTTTTACACAAGGGACACTGAGGCACGGAGATGTTAAGCAACTTTCCCAAACTCACACAGCCGGGAACGTTGAATCCTGAAGCAGGACTCAGACCTGGCCCCACCTGGCTCCAGGGTCCATACCTCCAGGCTGTCCTGCCTTTATTTGACCTAAGAACGTTGAGCAGGGTGCGTCTGGCCTGGGCTATTTGCCAGCACCGTCAGTGTGATCTCGGGCTGCTGAATCTGTGTGAGCTGGTTCCTCGTCTGTTGAGTGGGAAGGGCAAGACCTGACTTATTATGGGATTGTTGCCAGGAGCAGAAATAACGTGTAACGTACACGTGCGGCCAGTGCCTAGCGTGTGTTTGGTGGTCAACAAACGTCAGTAGCTACTATTATTGGAAGCGTCACGGGCATATTTGTGCTCTTGTATTTCCCCGAATCCTCACCAGAAAACAAAACAAAAACCCTGTGAGGTAGGTGGGGCAGCTGTCACTAACCCTATTTTATAGCCGGAGAGATTGAGGTACCAAGAGGTCAAGCGGTAGAGTCAGGACAAGAACGCACATCTTTTGACTGAGCACTTTGCACTCATTCGAATCCTGGCTTGCTATAGCCCTGCACCTGCCCGTTTCTAGACACAAAGCACTTGCTTTGCGGGCCGCACCTGCCCGTTTCTAGACACAAGACACGGTTGCCTCCCGGAAGGATAGAGCAAGGAATTCAGTTCTTGTTGCCTTCCCCTTCCCTTCTGCCCCTGGGATTGGCTGGGGGACGGAGTCGGGTCCTGCCCGTGCCCTCCTGGGAATCGTCGGAGACAGTTAATGCCTCTTGGGACAAGTCAGGTCCTAGCAAGGATGAATCACAGAACCATGCGTGCCCTCAGATTTTCTTTATTATCTAGGTAAAACATACGTGCTAAGTTTCTGGCCATCCCCAAACGCAGATGCATAGTCCGAAGACCACATCTCTGCCTCCCCCCTGCCCGGGCCCACGCCTCTGAGAACATCTCCGGCGCTCTCTGCGGCAGAAGGTGTTTCCATGCCCGCAGCGACGAGTAGTAGAGGGGCCTTCTGTGTCGTGAAGGTGGCTGGCCAAGGGGCCTGGGTGTCTGGCTTCATTCTGCTCTGCTTCCCTATCTTTCCTAAGACTGCCCTTCCTGTGATTTTCACATTTTCCCCTCCATCCTACTTTCAGAAAGTCTCTGGGGAATGCAGCTTTCGTTCTATTGCTTCACATAATTCCCAGGGCTGGGAATGAAAATTATTTCCTTTCACAACCCCTGGCCGAGTGCCTTTCACGTCCCGGCTGTGTTATGGGGTGATTTATAAACTGCGGGGTCTGGGTCTCTTTCCTCCGCCTCTTCCTCCCCCTTCCCTCCCACCATCATTTAAAGCAAGACATTGCACACAACGCGCTCAGAGGTCAGGGTGCCCTCTGAAGCTGGCCACTGGGGCTTTTGCTCAGAGGTGAAGATTCAGTGGAACCCTAGCAATGAGAGCATGGAAGCCATTCACCCCTGTTAGAAGAAAACAGAGAGGGGCCCCTCAGCCGAACTTCTCATCTGTGGGAGCAAACAAGACGCAGTCTCAAAGTTGGCGGGGGGGGGGGGGGGGTTGGCTTCGAACTGAGAATGTAAAAGA